CCGGGCCTCCTTATCCCCTCCCCCCCGCTCCCCCTCCCCTTCCCCACCACGCCCCCTCCAGCCCGCCGCCGCCTCTTCCCAAGCTCTGAGAGTCTCGCCACTTAGGGGAAAGGGGACAGCTGGTAGGGGGAGGAGATGGGGACAAGGGATGGGTCGAGCCCAGAGGAGGGGCGGAGGAGGCGGGGGCTCGGAATGTGCAAGGTCCCGGGCCCCAGAGCCTGGCAAGGCAGCATGCTGGGGCCAAGCCTGGACCCTGGGCTGCGGAAGAGGATTCCTTCCAAGTTCTAGCCACCCTTTCTGCAGGCCTGACCGTTGGCTTTGACCCAGACAAAGCAGCCGCCTGCATCCCCCAAGGCAGGGCCTGCTCCAAGGCACTCGTGAGACCTCTGGTTCTTGCCAGATTACGTCAGCAGAGACCCCTTGTTCACATCTTATGGCTGTTACTTCTCCAGATAAGCCCTATGTAGTTTCTAGTCCTCACACTTTTGCTAGCCCTGGAGATACCTCTGGTCAGAAGCGGGTACTTATTCGGAAGGTATTCAGGCCATATGCTATGATAAGACTGTGTTTCCCTTGGGTAAGCTGTCTTCCCAGATGTGAAACCAAGTTCTCCCATTAAGGGGAGCAGGGATATCAAAAAGCCTCTTTGACTACGCGCTTTAGATGTCTCAAGATCTGAAACCGCCAGTTCTAAAAAATATACCACAGTCTCAGTTAAGCCAACACCTAGCTATGTGACGTGTGACTCTCCAGAGCTTGATTATAGGTCTAGTTCCTGATGGCTTTTGGAGCAACTATGTTTTCTCAAGGAGTATCTTCTTTTAGGAGAGAACAAGACACTAAGACAAAGATCAGATCCAGGCAAGTCCAACCTGAGGACCGCAGGCCATATGCATCCCAGGATAGCTTTGAATGCAGTCCACCACATTTGTCGTGTCACAGTGCTAAATGTTAGACCCTGGTAAATCGAAAATAGACTGGGATTCTCAAAATCGAAAGGGTCTATTTCTAGACAGAGAGGTAGGCAAAAATGAGGCAGTACTGATGATATCTGGGTACATATAGGCATCAAATGGGAATAATGGGGGGAAAGTTGGTGCCCTATGGACACCTGGAACGTTGCCCGATTAATCCCATTTGATCCCAGGGCCAATCTGTAAATGTCATGGAGTTTTTAAAATGAAGTTTTATGGCATCTCTGCCCCAGCCATCCTTCAGCCCACTGTCCTCTCAAAGGCTACAGCCTTATGTGTAATTAGATGAGGTTGGTACCAGATGATAGCCCAACTTCACAACTTATGTCTCAGAGATATTCCGCATGACCTGTGACTGCTGCCTCAAGGCTCTCACCTAAGAGGGGCTCAGCTCAGCGAAGGGTTGTTAAGGTGACTTGTGGGATGAATAGAACAAGACACCACCAGGGACTTTCCAAAGCAGTAACTATCTAGAGATATGACTGTTTAGCTCTTATTTCTTAAACTATGCCTAGAAATAACTAAGGTTTAACCAGTACTGGAGCCAGAAGGAACTCCCTCACTATAACATGAAGAATAATCATTTAAACTTGTATTTTTCAACAGTTTTATGAACTAGTAATAATGCTTTCATTTTTCAAAGAGGAAACAGGTTCAGGTGGTCATCAAGTAGTGCTAGAATAATGAGATTTAGCCATGCGTGGTGAAGCGCTCCTTTAAGCCAGCACTTAGGAGGCAAAGGTGGATCCATCTGAGTTCAAAGGCAGCTTGGTGTCTTCATGGTGAGTTCCAGGTCAACCAGGGCTACATAGTGAGACCCTGTCTTAAAAGACCTATTTCCTCGGAAAGTGTCCCTTTCATAGTTTCACCTACTACCTGGCAAGTATTTAGTCAAATGTGAATCTCCACCTCTGATTCTTTCTGCACAGCATCTCTCAGATCCATCTGCTTCTTCCTTTCTGATTTTATTGCCATGAGCTTAATCCATGTTCTCATTATCCAGGTCAGACATGCAGACCAAGAGTGTCTTGGCAAATCTCCCTGCCTACAACCCAATGCTCCTCGCTTTGACTAGAATAATTCTCCAACATGACTGCAATCAATTCACTTCTATATTTAGAATGCCTGAGTTGTGCCCCACGGCTTCTTTAATGGAACCTAATGTTCTTTGTTGGGCCTTAATTCCTTATCACTAAGAGACAACCTGTCCTCCTTTGAACTGGAGAAACAGCATATTCCTGAGTGTTTCTCTCCGATACCTTGGGCCTTTTGCTTTTATCAAAATGTATTGCCTAGAGCTGGGTGTTGTGACACACATTTGTAATCCCAGCACCTAAAGGGCTGAGGAAGTAGGAGCATTGCAAGTTTAAGGCCAGCCTGGATTGCATAGAGAGACCCTGTCTCAAAAACAAACAAAATGAAAGTTACTACCTGAAGGAATTTTTGCTTCATGCTCCTGTTTGTACTCTCCAATTCTTTTATTGCACCTCTCCTGACTTGTCCCAAATTCAGATTGGAACCTCATTCAATGCAGAAATCCTTTAAAACAGAAAAGCACCAATGTACACACACATTCCCCCACATGCATTTGTGTGCTGCCTTGTATGCATGCACGCCATTCCCATAACCTATTTTTCCCATTTAATATATTGTGAATTTTTACCATGTCACTTCTTTTTCTATAATATAGTTTCATTGTCTACACAGTCTTCTAGATTATAGATCTAATATTAGTTATTTAAATGAGCCCTTATTGTAAGATTTCTGTTATTTCCAGATTTTCACTATAGCTCCTAGACTTTAGAGATACATAATATCATATATATGCAGATGACATGAAAGTAGAAGGAAATGTTTCTAGGAGGACAAAGAGAGAGGAGAGGGAGAGAAAAGGGAGAACTGTCGAGTACTGAGAGAATATGATCCAAATATATTTTACATATCTGCATGAAAATGACCATCAGTTAACCTGTCTGATAAAAATTTTAAATCTACAAAAGCAATGTTTTGATGAAGACGTGTAAGGTTGCCCCTAATTCCATTAAAAGAAATCATTGTTAGAACCAAAGCAAATTACTAATTTATAGTGGTATTGGGTGTGGTATGAGTGCATAAGAGAGTGGAAACAAAAGTAACTAGTCACAAAGTTTCAATAGACCCAATCTTCAGAAAAACAACAGGCATGTGTGGATTCTGGCTTCCTTTAAACACCAGGGACTACTGGGCATCCCCTCAAATGCCAGGCTCAGATTCTAGTTTCAGACCAGCCCTGAATGGCTAAGATGCCAACTCTTTTCCACACTTAGTGAAACTGATCCCATCAAATGGGGATTCCTTCTTCTTCCTCCCCACCCTTGCACTCCTTCCACACCTGTCCCATACCTGTCAAATGATCATCTGTTTATCCATCATCTAGGATTCATTTATTTCCTGAATGGTAATCAAGTGTGTTGCCAAAGGGCGGTCATTTCTAATAATATATTTAGACATTCAGAAACTCTTAGAAAAGGTTCTGATCCATGCCAAGGTTGTCTTAAAAGTACAATTGAGGCGCCATGGACTAGGAAATGCTTTTGCCATTCCTTGACAGTGCAAGTGCTTCTTGACAACAGGGCAGCTCCATGGAAGTTCATTGAATTGAACTGAGTTGCGTTTGGGTTGTTGCCAAAGGATGGGCACAGATGGCAAACACTGTTGGAGTCCAGGAGGCTGACAAAGTCACGATGTTTCTGAAAGGGGGGCAGGTTTCATGTAGTAATGACTGCAGATTGAGAACACATCATTCCTTCCCCCCTATCACACATTCATCTAACACTTTTTGTGTGTTATTTTATATAAGGCCCTGTGTTGGGTCCTAGAGACACATCAGCAAGCAAGTCACATAGATGAACTCTCTGTGCCTTTATAACTGTCCCAGCTACTTCTTTGTGAACTGGGAACAAGCAGGGAATGCCAAGACATGGAGCTGGATGAGCAGTGAAGAAGGAGGAGAGCCAGAATTCTGATTTTGAAAGAATTGTGACTCTGGATCCAAATTCTGTGTGCTACAGTGCAGTCTTATCTGAAGAAAAGAAGCTAACAGGTGGTCTGAACTTCTTGTCTGCTCTGTTGTAACTCAACCTACAGGCCCCTGGCAGCACCATCTTGAGGTTCTTGCCTGTTACAAGTCATCCAGCTTCTCAGATCACAAATGATGGATTCGAATAAATGGAACAAGGACAGCAAGATAGCTCAGAGGAAAAAGGTACTTGCTGCCAATCTTGGTGACCTGAGTTTAATTACTCAGACCCACAAGATGGAAGGAGAGAACCAACCAACACCTTCATGTTGTCCTCTGACCTCTATACTTGCTATGTGGTACTGCCCCTTTTCCAAAATAAATAAAATTTGAAAAAGAATAAATGGAACAAGGCTGGAGGGAAGACTCAGTATGTAATAACACTTGGCATACAAGCCCGAAGACCTTATTTCAATCCCTAGATCCTATCATGGAAAGAGAAAACTGTTGACTCCTGAAGGTTACACTTTGACCTCCACATGCACATGGTAGCACATAAATACTCCCAGTCACAGCTGTACATCATACACAAACACACACGCACTCGCACACACACACAGACACACACACATAAATAAATAAATAATATATCTAAAATCAATTTAAGAAGAAATGAAAGTTTCTAGGTCCAACTGGGGCATGTCACTTGTTTCATGGGAATATGAGTCACATGACAGTTTGATCAAGGTGATAACTGTGTTGGCAAAGGGCCTTGGGAGCCCAAGTGCCCACCTTATTAACTTAGGAGGATCTTGGTTGAGATCATCCTGTATCCACGTAACAGCATATAGCATTACATATGATCCCTGATCTCATTTTTCAAATATCTAGCACTGCCAGGCATGTTATACACAATGTATTAAC